ACCAAAAATTAGCTGGGCATGGTGGCGCGTGCCTGTAATCCCAGCTACTCAGGAGGCTGAGGCAGGAGAATTGCCTGAACCCAGGAGGCGGAGGTTGCGGTGAGCCGAGATCGCGCCATTGGACTCCAGCCTGGGTAACAAGAGCGAAACTCCACCTCAAAACAAAACAAAAAAATGTTACACGCATTTATTGGAAATGTATTACCTGCTTGGTATTCTGATCAATACTTTATATAATCATATTAAATGAGCTTCACAATTACCTTATGAGCAAGGTAATAATATTAAACCCATTTCATAGATGAGGAAACAGAGTTTTAAAGACAGTATATTACTTACCCAAAGCCATACAGAGAGTAAGTTCTAAAGTAGTGATAGTTCTCTAACTGTATTAAAGACTACTTGCATAAGAATTATGTCATGACGCTGGTAAAAACCCAGGTCTCCGTGTCTCCTCAGCATTCCCACTGGGTAACATCAGCATTTGTGTTTGAACATCTCCATGTTTTAACCAACATTTCAGTTGAGATGTTTAAGAATCGTGTTTATAAACTGTATTCACTAGTTAAAGAAGGGAAGCTGTGGGAAAGAAATGCAATTATTGCCTATTACCTTTGAGAGGGTGCTTTTCCATTGTATTCTATAAATACTTCCTGAGTTACTCAGCAAGAAACAAGCACAGAGCTGTTGAGAATAGACCTAAATAAAGCATTTTAACTTGTCCTTTTGTGTAGTAGCCTCTGCGCCATGTTGAGAAGCATTTATTCATTTTACAAATCCCATTTTACAAACTTTCTTTTCCTTCTTTTGCCCAAAAACTTGCTGCTGTCGAGTCTAACCAGAAATGAACTTGGAATAGTAATTGTATTTATGAAAGTCTCTCTGTTTCCTGTAAGCCAGGATCTGGATTTGGTGGTGGTAATACAATAGTAAATAGAGAAGTCACAGTGCCTGCTTTTGTAAACTTCCTGGTAGAGCTAACACTCCAACATTTTAAGTTGTAGAACTGTGAGGTATAAATGGATGATGTATTCTTCCTATTTTAATTATGCAAAAATAGAAGCTAAAAAGTGTATGTGACTGGTTCATGGTTGTACTTTAAGTGACATTATCTAAATTATTCTACTGATTCCAAGTTTAATATTCTTTTCATTATCTAATGCTATCTTTCAAAGTTACTCTGCACAGATTCTAAACTTCGGTATTTTGCACAACTTAATTAAGCCCTAATCCATATTGTCCTTATTTTAATTTTATATGTGTATATCTGAAGATCCAGTAAATCATACTGTGTTCACGTAATTAGATGTTGAAGACAAGAAGAAAGATAATTAAGGGAAAATAGAATAATTGCGACAAGAAGAAAGATAATTAAGGGAAAATAGAATAATTGGGAAGCAAATGATCAGTTTACATGTTGGCTTCCAGTTATTCAAAGAAAGGAGTAGGTAAATGATTCTGGCAGTAAAGATAATATTAAAGCTGACATCAAGGAGAAGAAAGGAAGAAATAAGCAATTTTTGGCTATTGATTTATTCAATCAGAATTTTTATTGTGCAATAAAGCCTTTATCTGTGATACCTGCCCATCTGTTTGCATTAATGTAGTTGGTCCACGTTGGCCATGCCAGTCTTCCTCTCACACATTAAATAATGTTTGTTCTTACAGAAGGTAGGGTGCATTTTTCCATTGTGAAAATAGGCACAATTCATATTTCCTTTTCCATCTTCAGAAAGGTCAAACCTGTGAATGGGAGAGGTAGAATAAATTCCTTCAAAAACTAAGCAACCAATCAACAATCAAACTCTGCGTATAGTATTCTCATGCACAAAATGGAGACTCTGGGAAAAACAGAATAAAACAGTTTCTCATTGTTGAGTAACTCCAACCTGCTTGGTAGTACAAGGTATGTATATTTGAAAAGCTCAAGCAATTTCATGCAGTGTAAGATTAAGGAGCAAGAAAACACTAGTATAATAGGAGCCCCAAAGAAGCAATGGAGATGGCTCTGAAATAATGGGAAAAAACTTTATCTACAAGATCAGATTTTAGTTTGGTATTGATGGAAGGGCAAGACTTAGATGAAAAGATAGGAGATGGAAGAGCCCTGCAGGGCAAATAGCTGCAATGGATGGGAATACGCTCATGGAAAAGTGAGTTGACTCAATATTTTTGAACTGAGGTTTTATATTGTAGGATAGATGATCTAAGACAGCAGGCTGTATTTAATGGCTGTTAACTTATCTTTATTCCCTTCTAGACCATTTATCACAAGAGGACAAGGAATATATATTTATTAGTTTATTTGGCACATATCTGCATAACTACGTGCCAAAGTTGTTGGATGTGCTAAGGATAGACTGATAAGGAAAGACAAGAAAGCCAAGGACTTTCCTGTTTGGGAACTTCCGTTTCGGTGGGGTGATACCAGTTAAGAGCCCACAAATAGAGAAAAAATTTCTGACAGTGGTAAAGTTACAAAGACACAAAACAGTGGTAGACGATATGGATGTGGGCTGAAGGGAAGCTAATTTAGTTTGGATAATTAGACTTAGCCTCACTGAAGAAGTGATGTTTAAATGCAGACTTGATTCACAAGAAGGAGACAGTCATGGAGTTGTGGCAGCAGAGCATTCTAAGAGAAGAAAATAGCAAATGCAAAAGCCTTGAGACCAAAAAACAAGTTTAATTTGTTGGAAGAATTAAAAAAAAAACCCACTAATTTGTCTGCAATATTGTGAATGAGGTAGCAAGCGATAGGAGATAAAGCTCACAATCTGTGAAGAGTGGTAGTTGTAGCATCCTGAGATCCTACCTATAGTAAATACTTACTAAATATTTAGTAAATAAATTAATAATATAAGTAATGATTAGATTGTACAAGTTTTGGCTATCAGTTTAAATTTTAATTGGAGAGAGACTGCAGTTTTGGTAGACAGGATGAACAAAATATATTGAGACTGGACATTGGAAAATCATAAAGCAAGCAACTGAGGTTCACAACTCAGTGCTAACAGCCCATTTGCCTGCATCATGTGTAGAAGGATAGAGCTTCATTAATGGGCATTGGAATTACCTTGTGAACCACAGTGCATCGAATTCTTGGAGACCTGGAGAATAGAAGAGTATGCAATATGACACTGAAAAGTCAAACGACTCTCAAGTTGACAACTTTCAACTGTAAAATAATGAGGATGAAATTTTGTTTTAAAAATATGTGGAGAGAATCAGAGCAATCTAAACACACACACACACACACACACACACACACACACACACACACCATTCTATGGTAAAGTTGAATGTAGAAATGAATGGGAATAATATCAGGTGTAAAAATGAATTGTGGCTTAGATAAAGAGTGAAAGAATAGGAGAGGGGAAAGTAGAATTGTCTTATGACCAGTGCTCTCTTGTTTAAAACAGGGGGTAAGTGACTCCGCTGCTGCTTATATAATCTGTAGTAGGTTATAGAGATGCATTTCAACAGTTAAATGACTTGGACTGAAAGGAAAGGGAATCTGAGAAATAAGAGTTTCTAGTCTTACTTTCTATTCCGAGTGTCATGGGACTTACATATTTTTTGAGAGAACTGAGCCATCTCCCACTTCCAGACCTCATTAGAGTTCTGGTGGGATAATCCGACTCAGTGAATTAAACAGTCTGGCTTTGATGTATTCCTCTTGTAAACATAAATAAACACAATGATCAGAATCCCTCCACAGCTCTTGGTAATGACAGAAAGACAAAGCTTTATGATAAAACCTTGAACAAAAAAGAGTTGGATTACCTGTCTATATTAATGTTAATAGATTTTAATTTCACTTGTCTTAGAACTTAAAAAATCATGTAGGACACAGGTAAAATTGTACACAAAATAGCTGATATTCTAATCTTCCTATGTGTTTATAATATATATTTATATTTTCAATCAATTGAGGATTATACTCTCGATAGACTACCAAACATGACTCAAAGGAATAAATGTAAAGTTAGAGAAAGAAAACACACAAGAAAAATACATTGTTGGTGAGCTTAAGGATTATTTTTTGTTTTATTAACTGCATAGGTCTAAGTCCTGGAATAGTTTCAGCACATATTTGTTAAATTAATGAAGAAATAAGTAAATCAACCAATGTATGAGTAAGAAAATTAAATGGCACTCAAATGTTTATATATACTCTCACACTTCCGAGAATAACCAGTAAGAATGCATTGTTGACAAACAGGAAATGACCTGAGATTCTTGACATATAAATGAGACTCAGAATGGCATTCCACAGGAGATATTGTGTGACAGTCATGTGTGATTGTTTATTTCTTAAAGCTTGAGCCACCAGGAACTGTTCTCTTATTTTCTAATCTTTCTTGTTTGTTTGTTTGTTTGTTTAGAATATATCAACATTATATGCTTGCCTACAGAACCTGACAGAAATTCTACTTGAAATTCAAGTTTCCTTTTTTTTCCTGAAAAAATTGCATGACTACTTTTAGTTATAAATCTTTAAACTGGCACTAGCCTAGACCTATACACATTCAGGATATACATATATGTCTCCAATTAATCTTATTGTAATAGAGCTGAGATTTTAGAAAATTCTCTTAGTTTGCTGGAGTAGAAGGAAAAGCTAATTTATTTAACTGAATATCTTCTGTATGAGCCTGAGCCCACAAAAACAGTAAGTAGACAGTTCAGCAAGTTAGAACAACACAGGACACAGATGATTATGAACATCACTGGGCTGTCTTCACGTGTGACCCACTGTGTACCTGAGCTGTCAAGAAGGGACAAGTCAATTTGACTGATCAACTCTAGCAATGCTGCAAAATGCGATTGGATTGAATATTTGGGTTCTGTAATTCTTACTAGGTTTCATAAGGTTCTTAGATTAGTACAAACTGAAAGATGTTAAGAAAAATGTAAAAACAAAAAAGGTCAAATGTTACATTTGAGAGTCTCCTCCCTCGCCTCCAAAATATTTGACATAAGGATCTCCCGACTGGAATGTTCTGGTTGTCAGTCTTCAGGAGAATAGAATTCATGTCAATCCAGTACTGTTTACTCTCTTCCCATGTCAAGCTGTGCTTGAAGAATCCATAGCAGCTACCTCCATAATATCTCCAGTTTGTGTCACAGGGGCTGCATTTATGATTTTCTTGAGAAATCAAGCACAGGAATGTTACTGTTGTTTCTAAATTGGACTTAATTTTCCCCGTCTTCAATGTTTCCTGCAGATTTCAAGACTTCCTTCAGTTACCATCCGAGAAATACTCCAGCGGTTGGATAAATAAAGAGGTTTAAAAACAAATACTTACTGAAAATGCTCTTTTGTTCTGTTTGTTTGTTTGTTTGTTTAAGACCTAGTCTCACTCTGTCACTCAAGGTGGAGTGGAGTGTCACTATCTTGGCTCACTGCAACCTCCACCTCTCAGGCTTAAGTGATTCTCCCACCTCAGCCTCGCAAGTAGCTAGGATTACAGACACCCACCACCATGCCTGGCTACTATTTTTTTGAATTTTTAGTAGAGACAGGGTTTCACCATATTGGCCTGGCTGGTCTTGAACTCCTGACCTCAAGGCATCCACCTATCCTGGCCTTCCAAAATGCTGGGATTACAGGTGTGAGCCACCACACCCAGCCACCCTTTTGTTCTGATTGTTTTATTACATATTGGCAGAAGTGCTTTGCTAATTGTTGCAGAGTTCCTGAGAGATTTTCATTTTCAACCTGCAGAAAATTTTGCTATATAACAACTGGATGTAAAAAATAAATAACATTTTGTAATCAGAATTATACAAATGATGCAAAGATCTTTTGTTGAATTTTCATTTCGTTAAAATTGCCAATATATGAAGAGTTTACTAGATACACATGATTAAATGAGTATTGAAAGGAGACAATCACACACACACAAAAAAAATCCCTAGATCAATAACATGCCCAAAGTGGTTGTTTTGACATTTTCTTGAATAGAGGATTCTCAGCTGAGTTAATAGAGTGAATGAACTCTTATTTTCTGTTCCTCGTGTGATGCCAAAATATTCATTTATTTAAAAATGCATACTGATTTCTTGTTATGCTGAAAGTACTTGTGATAAGGTTGGGCATGGTGGCTCATTTTGGGAGGCTGAGGCCAGCAGATCACTTGAGGCTAGGAGTTTGAGACCAGCCTGGCCAACTTGGCAAAACTTCATCTCTACTAAAAATACAACACTTAACCAAGTGTTGTGGTGCAGACCTGTAATCCCAGCTACGTGGGTGGCTAAGGCACGAGAATCTCTTAAATCTGGGAGGAAGAGGTTACAGTGAGCCAAAATAGCACCTCTGCACTCCAGCCTGGGTGACAGAGCAGAACTCTGTTTCTAATATATATATCTTATATATATAATATATTATAAATATATATTATGTAAATATATTAATATACCAATATATAAATAATATAAATATGTATAAATAATGTAAATATAGGAATATATTCTGTATTTTTATTATATATAAAATGTAAATATATTTATATTTTATATACTTTATATATATATAAAGTGCTTGTGATGGGTAAATAATGAAATAATGAAATATTTTTTCATTATTTACCCATCACAAGCACTTATATGTAAGTGCTTGTGAAATATAATTTATATTCATGTCAATCCAGTTTTTATATATAAAATATTTTACATATTTTTATATATATAATATAAGGTGCTTGTGAATATACGAAAAACATATATTATATATATATATAAAGTGCTTGTGATAGGTAAATAATGAAAAAATAAAAGATGATAAATGAAAGATTTTAAAATGTCTTACGAAAAATCAACAAATACATAAACAAGCCATAGCTATATAGACTGCAACGTGCCATTGGAGGACTGAGAGATTTACTGGAGGAATAAAGCACAATATTTCAGTAAACAAAATGGGATGGAGGAAATTTTAGGTAGAGAGAACAGAATGAGAAAGGTTTTAGACAGGGGAACATAGGATTTACATATGAAATTGAAAAACTCCAGTTTGGCTGGTTCTTAGCATATGCAAGATAGGAAGAGGGACAAAAATGTTTTAACAAACAGTGTGGATCCATACTGAGGAGTTCTTAAAAGGCAGTAGCAAATTCTTAAAAATGACTTTTGAGCAGGGCCTATTGAATGGGTTGGGGGAGAATTTCCTGGTTGATAGCTACTAATGTGCATACAAGTTTGAGACAGATATTTTAGGGGAGAGAGTGGAATTTAGGTACAACATACCCACGACCCCAGAAAGGTGTCAAGTGGAAGTGAAAAAAGGAAGAGGTATGTGAAGTAAAAAATTAAGTTTTAAAAGACGAGTTGGAGGTTCTTGTGGAAAGTATTTTCTTGTATACACACACACACACACACACACACACACACACACAATGTTTTCTTTATCCACTTGTTCATTAATGAAGTGAACATTTAGGTTGTTTTCATATTTGGGCAATTGTAAATAACCTTGCAATGAACATGGGAGGAAATGAGATATTTGCAAGACTAACTCAAACACTGCATTAAATATTCCATATTTAATACAAAGAAATCAAGATAATTAATATATACCTCTGGTTTTTCAGATCATGGATGTAAGCTCTGTCCTGAAAGGTGGCAATGGAGCAAAGGACCAGTAATGTAAAATAATTCAGGAATCCGTAACATGGCAAGAGAGCAAGGATAAAAATTTCTAGAGCGTCTCTAAAAATTCTACCCTCCTCAATACAGAGAATAAGGAACTGCTGAGTATGCAAGTCTCCTGCTTTTCGTTAAAATTACCTCCTCACCTCACAGAGGTGATAAGTAAAAAATTTACTTAAGATAAGTAAAAAAAATTATTGAGTGCCTAAAAATACTATGTTCTAAAGTGAGTCTATAAACGATCACATTTAATTCTTCCTTTGTGTGAAAATAGCAGCCCTGCAAGTTTGGTAATATTGTTCATAATTTTTAGATAAGAAACCTAGGCTTTAGATGATAAGAAACTCGATTTAGATCAGACATCCTGGTTTTGCATATTGAATAGAATAACAAAAAGGGACGAGGTAAATATATACTACCTCATTTAAATACTTATTTTTGTCTTTCATTATTGAATTCCAAATTCTAACACATCATTTTGGAAAAGAGAATCTAGGGAAATAATCGTGTATAAGAAGAAGAAAATAAAACATAAAACAAAAAGAGGATAATTTTTAAAAGATATATCTTGAATTCATAATTGTTCTGAGATGGATAGATGGATACATCAATATCGTATAAAGTTAAGGTTTATTCAACAACTCACCTGACTTCTGACAATTCTGACAAATCAAATGCAACTTTGGAAAGTTTTAGGAGAGTGCCTTTCATGAGGGAATCAACTTTTCAGTCTAGGTAAATGAAAAGTATGCCGAAAGAAGAGAATGTACAACTGATTCTGTGAAGAAACTTTTAAAAATAAACACTTAATTTTATTTATGTTGGATTTAATAGAGTTTGGAGGCAGAGAAAAAAGCAGGATAAGAAAACAACTTTCTAACTTGTGCATTTTTCCAATGTCCATCCAGAGCACAGAAGCCATGGTGGTGTCATGGAATGTTGTCAATTTCTGATACATTTCATCACAGTCAAGTCAGCTCCATGAAGCAGCATCATGGACGATTTGACTTATGTTCTGCTTTTGTCTTCTACATGACTTTGTGTCTCACTATCATCTTCTTCCTGGCGGGGGTTATCACACGGCACATCCAACTAAGAGTGTTGGAAGATGGTACAATCCTCTGATTGCGTCAAATTCTTAGGAAAGTGAGAGTCTTATTGGATGACACAATCTCTTCCCTGAGAATCAAAATTTGCAAGACACCAGAAAAAAAAAAAAAAAACAAAAAAAAATCTGTAACTTCTTCATGGGAACAAAATAACTGATTAAGACATTTAAATTATTAAAAGTAGATCTTTTTTTGTTGTTAGAAATAGAGGAATGAAAGAACTTATTTTTTCTCATGGAAACGAAATGAAACCCAAATGTGTGGGAGTCAGAGGCAGAGATTTTGAACTTTAATAAATAATTTTATCTTCATGAGAACGCCAGGGGCAAACTGCTAAAGAGAAATGAAAGCATCGAGTTGTTTCTTCAATTCATGTGTATGTAACTTATGTTTGAATCCCATATCATAACTAAGAAATTGTTTACTTGAACTAATTGTCTCTATTTAAAAAGTTGTGCTTAAATATATTGTTTGTAATTCTTACTAAATTTTCACATGACATTTTTCCTTTGTGTTAGAGTTTCTGTTGCATATATAAAACATTAATTAGTTCATAATTTTAAATATTTAGAGGATAACAGGCTACTAGGTGGTATATATAAAGTTGTAGTTTCAAAGGACTGTCAAAGTATTGAAATGCAACTAACTTTGAATTTGGATCACATCAATTTTCCAGAAAATTCTAGATTTCTGATCTAGCAAAATCAGTATCAAAGGCTAGTTTACCTAGCCTTTATTATTTTCGGCCTATACATGGTTATGCAACTATATGAGGAGAAATGGAACACTATGTCATTTACCAATATTCTGAAATCAGCAATTTTGTTCCAGAAAATATCTTGAACCCTAGATTTACAATATTTGGCATCTAGTGTCCAGGAACACTGACAAACTGTGATTCAGGAAAACTCTAAATAATTAAAGATAATGAATCTTATGTTTTTCAAATGTCTTCAAAAAATTTATTAAGACTTGTCTGAGGGAAATAAAGTATCAATTGTAAGAGAATATACTTTTATAATGATACCCAGATTACAACATCAATAACATCAGTATTGCTAATTTAAATAAATGATAAACATATAAATATTGGTCAGGGGCAGTGGCTCACACCTGTAATCCCAACATTTGGGGAGGCTGAGGCTGGCAGATGGCTTGAGCCTAGGTGTTCGAGACCAGCCTGGGCAACATGGTGAAACCCCGCCTCTACAAAAAAATACAAAAATTAGCTGAGCATGGTGTTGTATGCCTGTAGTCCCAGCTATTTGGGAGGCTGGGGTGGGAAGATCAATTGAGCCAAGGAGATCGAGGCTGCAGTGACCCAATCATACCACAATACTCCAATGTAGGTGACAGAGTGAGACCCTGTCTCTAAATAAAGGTA